GTTCCTGGGGAGTTTAGTTTAGTGTAGTTTATATATGTTCATATTTCACAGAAATACTTGGTAGGGGGAGAGGGTCTGCAGGTACATTTTTTATCAGCCTGACCCCTAAGTTAGGGGCCGAAAAGTGTGTGTGTGTGTGTGTGTGTGTGTGTGTGGGGGGGGGGGGGGATTTCAAAAAAAATATTCTTTAGTTATAAAAATGCTAGGTTCAAATACTACCCATAGCTGCAATGACATTTGGGTAGTTTATAAAATTTGATTTTTATGTCTCCCAGGGTCCCCGTTTGCCCCTGAGGAGGGGGTGAAATTTAGTATAGTTTATATAGGAAATAGACATGACAGGCCATATCTTCCATTGTTTAAAAAAAATATTTGTTCATATTTGAGAGAAATACTTATAATGGGAGGAGGGTCTTCTGGTATATTTTTTTTATTAGCCTGACTCCCTAGGGGGCTGAGTTAGGGGCTAAAAAGGGGGGGGGGGGGGGCCGAATTCGGGAAATTTTAAAAAATCTTCTTCTTTAGTTATAAAAATGCTAGGATCAAATACTACCCATAGCTGTAAAGGCATTTGGGTGGTTTCTACAATTTGTGATTTTCATGTCTCCCAGGCCCCCCCGTTTGCCCCTGAGGAGGTGGTGAAATTTAGTATAGTTTATATATGAAATAGACATAATAGGCCATACCTTCCAATGTTTTGAACGGAATTTGCTCATATTTGACAGAAATTCTTGTTAGGGGAGGGAGGTCTGCTGGTATAATATTTATGAGTCTGACCCCTAGGGAGCTGAGTTAGGGGCTTAAAGGGGAGAAATTTGGGAAAATTTATAAAATCTTCTTCTCTAGTTACAAAAATGCCAGGATCAAATACTACCCATAGCTGTAAAAACGTTTGGGTGGTTTATAAAAATTGTGATTTTCATCCCCCCCCCCCCCCGTTTGCCCCTGGTGAGGGTTTGACATTTAGTGTAGTTTATATAGGAAATATACATCATAGGTCATATCTTCCAATGATTTGAACGGAGTTTGCTCATATTTGACAGAAATACTTGTTAGGGGAGGAAGGTCTGCTGGTATAATTTTTGTGACCCTGACCCCCTAGGGGGCTTGGTTTGGGGTGAAAAAGGAAACGAATTTCAAAAATCTACTTCTGCAGTTCCAGAAATGCTAGTATCAAATACTACTCATAGTTGTAAAGGCCTTCGAGTGGTTTATATACTTTGTGATTTGCATGTGCTAGTAAAAGTAACAACCTTAATTCTTTATGAATTATAAAGTCTCCATAGTAACGCTTCCAAGTTCTTACCCTACATGCCTGAAGGGGTTACATATTGGCATAACAGAGCAAATGTAAATATTGTGCCAAGCTTGCTTAAATAACCAGGTGAGCAATACAGGCCCCCTGGGCATATTGTTCTTTGATTGGCGTGCTATTTTTCTCATCTATAAATTAAAAACAATTAAATTAGCAATAATAAGGCAAAGCATGAAAGCTTTAAACTTTGTTATATTTTTTCTTACACTCCTGTGTTTGATAGACAACAACAAAACGACTTTGTCAGGAGTAAAATATATGATGACGGGACGACGAACAATAAAAATTAATGAGAAATTAAAAAGTCAAATGAACAGTTTATATTCACATTCTCAAATTTCGATTAAGAAGACCGTAAGTTCAAAAATCCTTGGTCGTTCATGGTTTATTTTAGGCAATATTTTTTTTGCGATAACAAAACAAAAACAAATGAACAAACCCCATAGTGTATATTACAACTACATGATTGATAGACTGTTCGATCAACATACTTATACTTATTTATCTCCTGGTGTTTATGCATATAAAGATACAGTGTATCATTTGACACATTAAGGCGTAACTAGCTGCTCTGGAAGGATAAGCTTTTTATCAAAAACGTGTAGCACCTGTTATGCATGAAGGTCACCAGCGATCTTAGACACACCTGACGAAACTATAATAACAGCAGTCACTTAGTTTCAAATTAATTGATATATTAGTAAATTGAAAATAAAAAAATTTACTATGCACGTTTTAAAAACAGACAAAAACGAGAGAAAGAACCGGCAGTTAACCTCAAAAAATGAAACATTGCAAAAAGAAGTGGTCTCATTCCAAACAGAACGAAAAAGCTTGCGTGAGGATGTCCAAAGACTAACAGAAACACTCACAATCTCCGGTATGTATTCCTTTTACTTTTTAACAAGGTATTCCTGTAATGAATATCTTCACGTATGATTAAATCAGTGACCTGGGATCTAGTTTCACTTTTGACAGTTTATCTATACAATGCCACAAAACAGACACTCGGGTGGTTGGGTGGCATTGTATAACGCACTTGCCTTTCACCAAGGCGCCCACGTAGGTTTTCTCTGGGTACTCTGCTTTCCTCCCACATTAAGACACCCCTACCCCCAACGCGCTTACATCCGGGCAATCCGGAGTGATTAATAAAGGTTGATATAACATGTTTTATAAAAAAAATGTAAAATAAATTAAGTTTATATTTATAACAGACACTCATGTCAGGTTGTAAACTTGCTATTGATTTAGTTCAGTTGAACGGACATAAAATTAATAGAGAAAACCCTTTCAAACGTTTAATTGCTATATATATGATAGTAGTATATATGTATTTTTTTAGGTTGATCCATTTTTATACACTTGCTCGCCTAAACAGAATTCTTTACCTTACGTTAAAAATGTTAAACGCATTCTTGTAAATTTACAGAAGGAAAAACATACTCTTTGGAACAAACTTTGGAAAAAAAGGAGGAGGAAATACAAAACTTAAAAGATCAGCTACAGAGCGAAAGAGACAAAATGGTCGAAAACGGTAGGTATTTAAGATCAGAGCAGAACTTCAATCGTGCAGACATATGCAATATTTACTAACATACATAAGGAAAGCAACATCAAAGTTTAGGTCATACAGTCGAACCACGTTGTCTCTAAGTGGACGGGGTCGTATGCGAGTTATGCGGGTTCATAAATTTGGTATGAAATTTGCTGTTTGGACATAGCACTAGCAGTTGTTGATTTTATTAATAGCCTATGTTTATAATCAATCGATTAATGATATTCGTAATCAATATAATAAATACAGGTATATAATTTTTCAACAAACACGCTTACAAAAATAGAGTTAGTTACTTCCGAAAAACGTACTATCGTTTAACGCGATCAAAACGATTGGATCATATTGTGAATTTGTTATTAAATGTGGACGAGCCTTGTGATTAAATGTTAGTGCTAGTCTAGATCTTGGCAAAGTCTTTCAATGTCTGTATTTGTATTTGCAAGTCCGTCAAGTTTTACTTCTGAAGTGTTACATTTAACTTTTAATTTTAAAATTCAAACGTGACGCAAACCAGTCAATATCTGGGTTGAACAGCTGGCAGCATATTCGTTCAAAAATATCCTGCTTCAAAGTCCACTCAGTTGAATCATGAACGTTTCTGGACAGATCATCAGTAACAGAATTATCTATTCCTGGGATATGTTGTGCTACTAGAAAAATGGATCTTTGTAAGGCCCATTCCCACAATGACCTAGCTAATCTGTCCATATTCACAGAGCACATGCCTCCCATGTCATTTACATAGGCTACTGCAGTTGTGTTGTCAGTTTTAATCCCTATAAGAACCGAAGAAAGGTGAGAGAAAAATGACTGTAGAGCTAGGAAGATTGCCTTAAGCTCTAAATAATTAATGTGATATTGAGCTTCTCTTTCTGACCATCTCCCACCTGTAGCCTTATCATCATAGTGGCTCCCCATCCAGACAGGGAGGCATCTGTTCCTACCCAAATGGATGGGGCAGGTTGACCTATCGGTTTACCATTGCAAAATCGGACATTATCTATCCACCAAGTTATCTCTATTTTGCTGAATTCAGATAATGTTAACTCAGCATCATAATCGTCCTCGTTTGCTATTAATGATCTAGTCTTTTCCCTCTCCAAGGGCCTGTAATGCAATTGTCCCGGTAACACAGCATTAAACGCGTGTACAATGACTCCAATAAGTGAGGCCAGAACTCTTACAGAAAAAACTGAGCTATATAAGCAAATTTGGGCAAGACTTACCAATTTTTCTATCTTCTCCTCTGTCAGAAAAACTTTAAATTCCTCAGAATCTAGAATCAAACCAAAAAACACCAAGCGTCTCGTTGGATACAATACTGATTTTTCCCGATTTACAGTGTACCCTAGCTTAGTCAGACGCTCCGTCATTACAGACGTGTTTTTTGAAGAATGGTCAAATTTCTGGTCCATTTGAAGGGAGTCGTCAATATAATATGCACATCGAATACCACTGGCCCTAAACTCAGCATTGACAGGTCTCAAAAGCTTGGTGAAGACCCGGGGTGCCGAGGAGAGTCCGAAGGGTAGAACCACCCACTCGTACATCTGACCTCCCCACATAAACCTCAGATATCTACGGTAATCATAATGAATTGGGACACTCAGGTATGCACCCTTCAGATCAATGGATGTTAAATAATCATCCTTTTGGATGAGATCAAGAACTACGTTAAGGTTTTCTTGCTTCAAATGTTTGTATTCAACATACTCATTTAAGTTTTTGATGTTAAATACTGGTCTGAGTTTACCATTTTTCTTAGGCACCGTGAAAATATTGGACAAAAATTGACCGCTACATGGGAGAACAGGAATGACCGCCCCTTTATTTACCAAAGCTTGTATTTCCTGATCCACTAAAATTCTCTCTGAATGTGAGAAAGGGATTTCCTTTGGAACACCAAACTGGATAGGTTCGGAAACAAATTCAATTTGATAACCTACGGTTTGTAACACCCATTGATCTGATGTCAGAGCTTCCCACTCCTTAAGATGCGTATCTAAGGTACTCACCTTGTCTACTGATTGGCCTGTTTGTCCTTCTGTTGATGGGACTGATTGTAGCCTCGTTGTCTGTGATACGGGCTGTACCTTGGTCTTGGCCTGGCGTACTGGCTGTAATAGCGGCCTCCACGCCCCTGGGGCCGCCTCTGGTAGTTTCCCTAGTTCCCCCGGAACCCGGCATTACCATTTCCATAGCTGCCATACCTTCTACCCTGGGGCTGTGTACCTGAACCATACCCAGCATTCCCACCTCCGCTACAAATAGGTAATTTTGATATTTCATTGATGTCTTTAATCTTTTTGGGCAGATCATCCCCAAATAAGAAATTTGTAACGGGCATATCTTGGGCACAAATGCTTTTGTACTTCCTATTGATATTGGGACGCAGGGCATATCTACGTTTGATAGAAAGGGTAAAAAGGGCACTCCCTAGTAAGGCAACAGAATCAGCAATATACCCCTTACATCTAGTCTGTTTTTCTGATGTAGCTTCAGACACAAGAAGCTCTTCCGCTAATTTGAAAAGGGGGACCATCCCAGTAGCCAAAATCTTTTGAACGTCTTGCAGTGCCACATCTGCAGTTTGGGATCTATTTGGTAATTGGGCCCAAATTTCACTATTAACCTTGGGGGCACCCAGGAGGTTACAAACCCCGGTCTGGGGTACTTTTTCACAATGTTATCCATTTTACCGGAATCTGCCTTGTGACTGCAGGCCTTGTTTACTGACCTGGCAAGAGACCCCGATACATTAGGCCCTAAAATCTCCTCTGCCTCATTTTGAGGCACGTTCCAGTCACCCATATCATCCCCATCGTCACATAGACCCTGAAAAATGTCACCCGGCTCATACACACTCCCTTGAGCCGAAACCTCGTCATCTTGGGCTAATTATAATTCCTCCCCAGGACCATACCCATAACTTAAATACTCCTCATGGTCCGCGAATAAATCGCCTGGGTCGAGGGGAATGAGGGGTCTTAGCGAACGGCCATCATTGTTTTCATTTGTGTTCGTCGCCGCCATATTGGACGACGAGGCCGGTCGACCCGGGCCCGACCTGGCGGTGTCTTAGTGGACATTTTAATCATGTTTTTGTTAATAGAACTCAGTGTTTGTTCCAATTTACCAATCCCCAATTGTTGTTTTGTTGGGGGATATTGAACTCAAGTCCCTCGGACTTTTTCTTACTGGCACTGGCAGCGCCAGCTCGGCTACTTTTGGGACGGCCGGGAGGGGCAGACTGAGCGGCTTTCGCCTGTTTTCCACGTCCCCTACCACGAGGGCCAGACGTCGTACCCCGCCTGGAGCGGCGGTGACCAAATATCTCCATATCACTATCTGAGCCACTGGATTCACCAGAGCTATCGGGCAACTCACCCTTATCGGCGAGCTCCTCCTCGTCCGAATTACGTCCCAGCGAGAGGACATCGTCCATCTCGGCCATAATACCTCGTATTATCAAGTCGCCAAACGAAAAGAATTAATAAAAAGTCGGCACGGCGTGCTCAACTATGCAAGCGACAACTCACCAAAATCTAACAAATAGGAACCCACTGCTTGTAATCGACGTCTTCCTTATGAAACACATATGAAATCAAAAAATATTTTCATTTACACTTTTGATACAAAAGACATGCAACTGAAAGATTTCAACTTAAAACGAATAAACTTACAATAAAACTTTCGACTTGGTAAGATGATATACATCTTGAACTTTGTAAAACTTTGTGTGTAAAGCCATGTTTGCTTCGTGTATGTAATGTGTTGCTATACTTTATACTTCAGCTACACATACACAAAATTATGTAACTCTAGAAAAAAGAGGTCAACTTCATAATTAGTTTATAGCTGAGACATTACGTGTACATGTCTTTTAAATGCTTTTTAATAGTTTTTTGAAAGAAATATATTTGTGAGTTGATCCGGAAATTGTGTAAGCTTCCCGATAAGGAAGGGGGAATAATTGTTTTCCATAATATGGATTTACAAATTATCGCTCCTATAAAATTTACAAACGCTTTAGGAAAGCTTTGGCATTTCTGCATAGTTATTTAAAACACTAGAAAAATGATATTCAAGGTGAAAAAAGAACACTATCAATAAAAGTGTTGATAACTACTGTTGAACCTTTCATAAATGAAGAGTCATTGATTGTAGATTTTCCAAAGGACGTGCTAGAAAACTTGACAAGTGACAAAGCAAATCTGATAAGTGACAAAGCCAAACTGATCAATGATCTAGAAAGCATGCAGCAAGACAAACTGAGCATGCAGCAAGAACTGGAAGGGAAAATGACAAAGCTGCAAGAGAAAAAGAAAAAAGCAAAATCTGAAATAGAAAACTTCAGGAAAACGCTCGGTATGTATTGACTATTTTTTAGTTATCTAGCGAGAATCATAAACACTTACATTATTATTGTAAGTGTACATAGTAAAATATGTACTCTCTTATACTAAACAGTTCAAACAATGTTATATACATGAACTTAGTTAAATGTTTTACCATCGAGTAATAACATTTTGATTACTCATTGACAATATTATGTTTGTGTAAAACACAGCGGACTGGTGAATATGTTTTGTTTTTTGCCTAACAAAATTAAGACCTATTTGTGTTTTAAAAGGACGGTTACTTGAATAAGAGGACCCTGATTTGAGGTGAGAGTATGCCTCTTACTTGTGTATATAGCATTATGTTCGTTGTCGATTTGATTTTGCCGTACATATACTTTTGAGGCATTATTATAAATGTACGTTCATACTATTCATATTTTCAAAGTGTTATGATATCATTTCAATACATTTATTTGCTTAAGTTAGCCTTGAGGCGATCCTTTAAATGTTTATGTTAAATGAATATATCATTATAGTTTTTCACTATGCAGATTATTAAGTGTGGGAAGGGCAATCTTTGAGGGGAAAATGCAAATCGGGAGATTTATTTAATTATACAATCTTTATTTTGCCCTTTTGGTACTATATTTACAATGTGGACGAGATACAAAAATAGTTCGCCACGTTTGTCTTAGTCGCGGGTTTTAACAGTATATAGTAAAAGTGTAAAAATATTATTTATGATGGATGCATTAAAATTTGTGATATCACTTTCAATTTAATTATATTTCATTTCTTATTTCGTTTGTTTTATAAAATAGCATTACTTGATTATGTAATATAATATTTGTTTATTTTAGAAATACGTTCTAAATGTTCTTATTAGATTGTACAAATTGATTTTCTTACATATTAAACAACCACAACCTGCATTTGACTGATAGAGCAGCGGGAAGCGTCAGCTATTTTTCTACACGTAAAAATTAGCTTTAGATAATAATAATATTGAATGATATTTAAAATCTCATCGCTCCTTTTTATTAAGTGCAACAGACAAAAGCATTAGTTTTTTAATATAGCGAGGATAGATGAAATAAATAAATGCAAACAATTATAATAATCATTAAAAGCTTTATTTTTCTTTGTGAACTAGAATTCAATAGCTTATCAGGCAATTTGGAAACAGACTGATCGGTTAAAATTGTGTAATCATAAAATTAGTGATGCTATGTAAAACACTGGTCTTCTTTTGTTAATCATTTGATCATTGTATAACATAGTATGGTAATACCCTGAACCCTGTTGAAAAAACCAATAAGGATAACTTCTAATTCTTAAAAAAACGTGGGACACTTGTAATACACATTACGGTATGCATATGTTATACAGAAGCACAGAAAGCAGAACTCAAATTTCTGAAAACGGATAAGGAAAATATGACGAAGGATATAAAAACACTCCCAGAAAATAATGAACAAAACAAAATGCGTTTGAGCGATCTTGAAGAAGAGAAAGCAAAGATGCAGACGACAAATTCAGTCTTACAGCGTCTTATGCTGCTGAAAGTCCTGGATATCCTGTCTCTTAGAGACAATTGTAATAATTCAATGGACAGTAACCTAATGTATTACAATTTATTTCTTTGTAACAGAGTCTCCAAAAATAAATACGGTCATCAATGAATAATATTAAAAAATAATCTTGTATCAACAGATTCAAAAGATGGCGAGGTACTTTCATTGCAACGCGACAATGACTGGCTCAAAACAAAAATGCAAACTCTCAAAGAAGAAAAGGAAACATTACAAAATGATATGACATGTCTGGAAAGTTTTAATGAAGAGTCAAAGTCGAAGAGCAAAGAGTTACATAAGACGATTGGTAAGACATGTCAATATTATTCAATATCCTTTTCTATTATTGCACTTTGTCAAACATGAGCAATACATATCAATGAAATATTAACACTACATCATTTCAACATTCGATCGTAAAGTATCAAACTGACAATCAGTCTGTTTCAAGTAAAGATTAGTTGGTAACATCCCGATTTGTAATATATTCAATTTATAACTATAAAGCTCCCTTTTACAGTTTGGTTTCAACAGCTAAACATATAACGCAATATATCTGTGCCGTTACCGTCAATCTTTTTCTTAAATATTTGTACTGAATTATGCATAGATATCTGAAGAATCGTGCCTAAATTATTATTACTTGAATTAAAGGGCACTGGTTAGAGGCGACAGAATGCCTAATACTTCTATATATATAAACATTATGTTCCTTGTCGATTTGATTTTGCCGTAAATATACATTTGAAGCATTATTATAAATAAACGTTCATACTATGCATACATGCAAAGGGTTATGATGTCCTTTTAATCAATTCAATATTGTTGAATTTGTATTGAGGCAATCGTTTTTAAAATGTTCATGTAAATTGAAAATATCACTATAGTTTGTCACTATACAGACGATTTAGTGAAGGTATGGTAATCGTTGAGGGAAATCTTGAGATTTATTTAATTAAGCAATCCTTATTTTGCTATAGCCATGAGTTCCCCTATTGCTGGCTTATTTACAATGTGGTGGTTATATAAAATAACTCATAACAATAGGCTAAATACAAACGTAATCGCGGGAGAAATAAAAGTATGTAGTAAAGGTTATAAGGGAATAATAGAAAATGATATTTCAAATCTTTTTGCTCCTTTTTATTAAGTACGACAGACAAAAAGACTAGTTGTTAATGAACGCTTATAGTATCTAATTATCATTTTAAAGCTATGCCTACCATTGTAGACTTGCATGGAACAGCTCATTACGCAATTTATCGCTTATAATTATGATGTAATTATACCATTAGTGATGATGATGCTTTTAAAATCTGGTCCGTTTTTTTTATTAATCATTTGATCATTTTATAACATGGTTAGATCCTGAATCCTTTATTCGTAAAAACATACGTGACACTTCTAATACGCATTATGGCATATGCAAATCTTATACAGATGAACAGAAAGAAAAACTCAACTCACTGAAGACCGATAAGGAAAACATAACGAGAGATATGAAAACACTCACGGAAACAAATGAACAACTAAGGAAGAGTTTGAATGCTCTTGAAGAAGAAAAAACAAAGATGCAGACGGACCATGAACATCAGATGGCAGACTTTCGAAAACATAACACCACGTTATCGTCGACAAATTCAGTCTTACAGCAACAAATCAGTAAGTGCTTATTATATTGCTTATCGTATATGTATGATGCTGAAAGTATCTAATTCTGTCTCTTACAGGGCTAAATGAATATGTGAATGGACGATGACTGAATTAGTACTATTTATTTATTTATAACTAGACCTCCAAAAGCAAATCAAGTTATCAATGAGTAATATAGAAATATTTTTGGATCGACAGGTTCAAAAGATGACGAAGTGCTTTCATTGAAACGCGACAATGACAGGCTCGGAACAAAAATGCATACTCTCAAATGTGAGAAGTCATCACAAAAGGATATGAAAGATCTGGAAAGTCTTAATAATGAGCTAAAGGCCAAGAACAAGGAGTTGCATAACGCCATCGGTAAGACGTGTCATTTTCATCCGACATCTTTTCAAGTGTCATGCTCCTTTTTCAAACAAGAGTAATGCATAAAACATTACCACTTCATACCCACTGTTCATGGATCAAACTGACAGTCAACATGTTTAATGAAGGATAAGTAAATAGCATCGCTATTAGTAATATATTCAATCTAGTACTATAAATGTCCTATCTTTATAGTTTTGGTTTCATCATATTTAATCCCTTTTCGTAAGTATATGTACTGATCTGCACATACATATAATGTATATATTATATTTGTAAGCGGCCCTAACGGATGATTACTAGAACTAGAGGACGGTGATTAGAGTTGAGGGTATGCCGTTTACTTTTGTATAATACCACTATGTTCGTTGTCGATTTAATTTTGCCGTACATATACATTTGTGGTATTATTTCAAATGTTCGTTCATACTATGAATATTTGCAAAGGGTTAAGATTTCCCTTCACAATAAAATTAATTGTTGAATTTGCCTTTAGGCGATCCTTTTAGAAAAAACATGTAAAATGAAACTATCATCATAGTTTGTCACTATACAGACGATTTAGTAAGACTATAGCGAGAGAAAAAAACAAAAATGCAAATCAGGAATTTTCAAATCTTGCAATCTTTATTTTTCCCTTCTGCTACTCTATCTACAATGTGAGCTGGAGATAAAAAATAATTAAAAATAATTAATTACATTTTTTTCTAAATACATAATCGTTGGATAAATAACAGTTGTAAAAGTATTAAAACTGTATAGACGAAGGCTGCATTTAACTTTGTACTGTTACTTTTAATTCAATTACAAGTATTTCTTATTTCATTTGTTTTATACAGAAATATTGTTTTACAATGAAACGCAATTTAATTTTTGTCGAAATGTGTTCTAAAAATGTTTCCTTTGAGATTAAACAAATGTTTTTTCTTGCAATTCCAAAACAGAACTCGTATTTGATTAATGGAGCAGCGGAAAATGTCAAGCTATTTACCTTAATAATTAATGAGGATGCAAATAATAATAGGAAAAACTTTTTCAAATCTTTTCGCTCTTTTTTATTATGTATGACGGGCAAAATCACTGGGTTTTTTAACACATAGAGGAAAGACTAAATAAATGAACGCGAAAGTATTTAATTATCAATTTAAAGCTATGCTTTAAATGATGAAAATATACAATTAACGATGTTATTATAAAACTCTCAACCTTGTTAAAAGTTCAATAAGGATACTCATTAATTCGAAAAAAACACCGTAATGTGACACATTTAATAAATCTTCTGGCATCATATGTTATACAGATGCACAAGAATCAGAACACAACTCATTAAAGACCGAAAGGGAAAATATGACGAGTGTTATGAAAACACTCACGGACACAATTGAACAGCTAAGAAAGAGTGTGAGTACTCTTGAAGGAGAAAGGGAAAAAATGCAGACGGACATTGAGCATCAGATGGCAGACTTTCGAAAACATAACACCACGATATCATCGACAAATTCAGTCTTACAGCAACAAATCAGTAAGTGCTTATTATGTTGTTTATCATAACTTGAACATCAACTATAAACGGATCAAACTGACAGTCAACCTTTTGAAATAAAAGTGTGTAGTTAACAACCCGAATTGTAACAAATCCAATCCATATTTATCAAGCTCTTATTGACCTTTTGGTTTCAACAGTTATAAATATAACGCTATAATTATGTTCCGTGATCGTAAATAAATTTTCCATTATTTGTTTACTGTTATATATAAAAATCTGTAGAAACGTTCTTAAAGGATGATTACTTGATTATGAAGATGATTAGACGTGAGGGTATGCCTCTTACTTGTGTATATTAACATTATGTTTGTTGTTGATTCGGTTATACATAACATATATATTTAAGGTATTATTATAAATGTTCGATCATACTATACATATTTGCAACGGGTCATAATGTACTTTCATAAATGTAAATGATGGAATTTGTTTGAAGCGATCGTTTAGATAAACAATCGGTATGTTATATGAAAACATTATTATATGTTGTCTCTATACAGACGAATTAGCGAAGGTTTGGTTATTTGTAAAGGATATTCAAACTTTAAAAGGGTGTAATTCATTTAACTATGCAATCTATAGTTTGCAATCGACATCAGTTCCCTTTTGCTGGTATATTTACATTGTGGTCGAAACGATATCCAAATTCATTAATCACAATAAGCAAAATACCTACATAATCGTGGGATTAAGAATACAGAATAAATCATTACAATAGGCTAAATATCTTAATGATCGCGGAACACACAAAATAGTTCAATGCAAAAAGCTAAAAAAATATATAGTTGCGAGATAATTTTTTTTTACAAAATCATTCATCACAACAGTTGAAATATATACATAATTGACAGCTTGTAGTAAAAGTGTTAGAACTTTATAGACGAAGAATGTTTTATACTTTGTGATTTAATTACAACTATTTCTTATTATTTCATTTTCTTTGAGCTATTGCTTGATTATTTCATTTTTTTGTTGAAATATTATCTAATTTTTATTCCTTTTTGGATCAAACAAATATTTTCTTACATATAAAAAAAAAAAAAAAAAAAAATCCTTTTCGATTAAGGAAGCAATGGAAATGCCATATTGACTATCTACATCTCATTTCCTTTTTATTGAGTAAGACAGACTAAATCGCTGTTATTTAATACACAGCCGAAAGAGTAAATGAAATGAATGCAAAGTTGTTGAATTTTCATTACAGCTATGTTTTATTTGTAAACTAGTATTTGTAAATGATCAATCAACTGTCTTAAATTTGGCAAAAAAAGAATGATCCCTTAAAACAATGTTATTCTAAAATCAATAATGCAACTGATTTTTTGTGAAAAATCCAATTAACTATTTGATCATGTTTCTATAGTGTTTGTATTCGAATAACTGTATTTCCTTTCAACATATTGTATTTACATAAATAACGCAAGCCCTCTCCATATAGTAATGTAGCATTGATTAAGACGCGTCCAATTATGTTTAACAAGTAAGATGATCATTAAATAAACATAGCATTGTAAAACCCCGAACCCAGTTAAAAGTTCAATAAGTATTAACACGTGACGGGAAAATTCAAATACTCATTGTGACATGGATATGTTAAACAGATGCACAAGAATCTGAACTCAACTCACTGAAATCCGATAAGGAAATTGTGACGAGGGATATGAAAACAGTCACGGATAATAATGAACAACTAGGAATGCGCTTGAGTGCTGCTGAGGGAGAGAAAGCAAAGATGAAGACGGACCATGAGCAACAGATGACAGACATTCGACATAATAACTCAGTGTTATCATCGACAAATTCAGTCTTGCAGAGGCAAATCAGTAAGATTTTATCATATTGCTTATCTATCTCCATGATGCTGACAGTTTATAATCCAGTCTTTTACAGGAAAATGAGAATAATTCAATGGGAAGTATTTTAATTATTACAATCTTTTTGTATTTAATAGGACTCCAAATAATACATGAGGTCATCAATGAGTAATATAAAAATATTTCATATCAACAGGTTCAAAAGATGACGAGGTACTTTCATTGAAAAGTGACAATGACAGGCTGAAAGAAAAAATACGTACTCTCAAGGAAGAGAGGAAGACATCCCAGAACAATATCACTGATCTCGAAAATCTACGTGTAAAGCTTGTATCGGAAAGCAGAGAGTTACAGAGCACGATTGGTAAGATGTGTCAACATCCTTTAATGTCCTTTTTTCATTATTGCACTTTTCATCGGACGAGAGCAATAATTCCTTATAAAAGATTAACACTACATTATTTAGATATTCACTAGTAACAGATCAAAGTTACTGTCAACCCGTTAAATATAGAATCATTAGGTAGCATCCTTGTTTGTAACATATTCCGTTTATAACTATAGCTCTTATAGTTTTGTTTTTGGACCGAAGGGTAACGGGTTCGACTCACATCACGGCACTGTGCTTACTCCACTTGTTCCAGTCATCTCAGCTGTAAATGAGTACGTGGTTGAGCAGTGCTAAAATTGTAGAATGCTAGCTGTGAGCGCCGAAATGGCAGCACCGGATGCTCCCTAGAGAATTTAGAAAGGTATTTGCTGGTTGCAAAGTTCCCGTAACCACGGATAATAATGTGTGAACGGCTTTGAGACGACCTACGAACTAGGCTGTGATAAAGCGGTATATAAAAACCTCGAATTATTATAACTAGCATTATTTATACGTTTCGTTTCAACAGTTGTGATTACAATGCAAAATTACCTTTCCGTGATCGTAATATTGTTTTCGGAAATATTCATACTGAACTGTACATAACTATTTGAGGAGGCGTTTCTAATAGGTAATTACTTAAATTAGAGGACGATGATTAGAGGATAGAGTATGCATATCTACATTGTGTACGTTGTCGATTTGATTTTGCTGAACTTCTATGTTTAAGACATTGTTAGATTGCATTAAATCCGTTCTTTCCATGATCTGCTGATTACACACACGTGCAGCACGGCTCCATTTTACCTATACTTGTGGACGTCAATTTTAGTACTATTGAATCAGGGTTACTTTCATATTGAGACCCTGTTACTAAAGAAGTGGAATAAATGGTATTAGGGTGCTGAATAATTCATAAGATGCGTTGATCAATCTTGAACGGATGCTCAAAAAGTTTCTTCTATAAAAACTTCTGACTTTTCGACTCTGTACACTACCATACCACATACCAAGCTAAAGAAATGTATTTGGTCTCTTCTGATGATAGCTTTCATTTTCTTGGATGTAACCTCCTTACATCCCGTACCTTTGATGTTTACATGTCGCATTTGATTCGGTGTTCCAAATATAGCTCTGAATATCATGACTTACGTGATAGATGTCGACTGCTGACGGATAAACTAGGGTTTCCAATGATACAGGTTGATGAAATACTATGGACAAGATTTATGATTGTCTTCGTTATTTCGCTAGGGAAATTTCTTCGTGTGATATGAAGGTCTCTGCTTTTGATTATGTTCAATAGTGCGCTTTGTGTTTTTTGCTTTTACTGCCCGAGTTCAGTATGTAAGGACGTGGCATTGCCTCGATTAGACCTTGGTTTTCATGGCGGGTGTCATCGATGAAGCAGAGACACTTACTCTTCCTGAACACCCGGTCTTGTTCTTTTAAATCTTTTCTTAGCCCTAATGTAATCGTTTTTGAGTTAGAATTATAATATTCTGAACACTTTGGTATTCCTTTTTTTTTCACTAATCTTTGTTACTTCTGTCTTCAGAAATTTTCCAGAAAAATATATATATGTCTGAAACATTCTCACCAAAGACCAATCAAACTGTAATTTTTTAATTCAAAGTTGAACAAACTCCTCCCTTAAGTCACACCAAAGTTAGCAACTTAAATCAAGGGAAACATTATACATTTATTTTCCTTACTGTAGGGGTTATAAATGAATGACTTTAAAATTGTTAATATAAATAAATGTACACTAAAGTAATTAGAAGTACTCTGTTTGGGGTATTCTGTGTATTAATCTAACATTGGAGATACAGTGTATGTTGATGTTCCAAAATCATTCTGATTATTAATACAAATTTCGTTTTATTAAATGAATGCTTATAACTGTGAGGATGCTACATGGCTTTATTCTATCATTTATTCATTGATTTTGCAACATAACGATAGGGTTAGGACAAGGGACACTCTTGACTTTGATGTCAGGATCATTGTATAATGTCACAAGTTGATATAAACAGGCATCCCTTTGATAATAGTCTATACTATAATTATTCTCATTTACATCAATGAATAAAGGTAAATAAAAGTGTACATTAAAATACATGTGATACTTCCTCTTTTATAATGAATCACACAAGCATACCTTTTCATATATTCAGATTATATTACTCATCTCATTAACATATTAATGATTTTACTGCTATCATGTCAACCCGAGTATGAAAAGCTTGCTGTTCAATTATATAAAAACAACGAAATGTGACGAGATGGAAATATTGTTGATGAACCTTATTATACGATTTTTTGTTTTCTTGAAAGGTACAAAAGATAACCTTATACAATCCCTGGAAACTCAAAGCAAAGATCATGCAAAGGATTTGAAGAAGTTGGAGAGAGAAAAGGAACAACTCAAAACAGAAATTAGGAAACACGGGGAAGATAATGATCGTTTGACAAAGAATGTACGGCTGCTTGAGGAAAAAAATGCTGAACTCACAAAAAAAGTAACAACCCTTGAAAAAGAAAAGGGCAACATGACAAGAAACATAGATGATCCTAATCGTTTAACGATGAATTTGACGGAACTAAACGCAGAAAGAGAACAACTGACAACAGATCTTAGGAAACAGAAGGAAAAAAATGAACAGTTATCAAAGAATGTTAAGACGCTTGAGGACGAAAAACATCAACTTACAAACGGAGAAACGTTACTTAAAAAAGAAAAAGAGAACACGAAAAGAAATATAACAACACTAGAAAGAGAAAAGGAACAACTGACAATGGATTTGAGAAAACATGAAGAAACCACAGAACTGTTATCAAGGAATGTAAAGACGCTTAAGAAAGACAAGAAAGAATTCACAGACAGAGTAGTTGCTCTTGAGAGAGAGAAAGAAAGCATGGCAAGAAATATAAGGACACTAGAAACAGAACAGGAACAACTGACAACGGATCTTAGAAAACATGAAGAAACCAAGGAACTGTTACCAAAGAATGTAAAGACGCTTGAGAAAGACAGGAAACAACTCACAGACAGATTAGTTGCTCTTGAGAGAGAGAAAGCAAGCATGGCAAGAAATATAAGGACACTAGAAACAGAACAGGAACAACTGACAACGGATCTTAGAAAACACGAAGAAACAAAGGAACTGTTATCAAAGAATGTAAAGACGCTTGAGAAAGACAAGAAACAACTCACAGACAGAGTAGTTGTTCTTGAGAGAGAGAAAGAAAGCATGGCAAAAAATATAAGGACACTAGAAACAGAACAGGAACAACTGACAACGGATCTTAGAAAACATGAAGAAACCAAGGAACTGTTATCAAAGAATGTTAAGACGCTTGAAGAGGAAAAGAAAGAGCTCATAAACGGAGTAACGGCACTTAAAAGAGAAAAAGAAAACGTGACAAGAAATATAACGACACTAGAAGCAGAAAAGGAACAGCTGACAAAGGATCTAAAGGAATATGAAGAAAATAAGGAACTGTTATCAAGGAATGTAAATACGCTTGAGAAAGACAAGAAACACCTCACAAACAGAGTAATGGCTCTTGAAAGAGAGAAAGGAAGCATGGCAAGAAATATAACGATACTGGAAACAGAAAAAAACCGACTGACTATGGATTTTGGGACGCTTGCGGGAGAAAAGGAAAGTTTGGCCAATAATCTGGGGACACTCGAAGAAGAGAAAATATCAATGGAAACGAACTATGAGCTAAAGCTAACAGAACTCAGGGATTTGCAACATGAAAATCGTAAGTATAAAACATAATCTGATTCTTATATATATTGGTGTGAAAAAATATCAGTACTTTGGTGAACGCCTTCTGCAAAAGTGATATTTTAACAAAGTGCTGCTCTTATTTTAACAACAGGTATTCATCATAGGAACCTGATCAAAGTTTAGACATAAGTTGTTTTCATCTCCTCTAACAAATAGGAGAACACGTTTGATCAGAGCATGAGTAACGTTTAAGACCTCTGACAACCTGTACCAATATTTGAATCAATTAAGATTAATTAAGAGTCATAACTAAATTATAACATACTTATTGCAATAAATATTACATATGTTCTGTATCCATAGGTTTAAAGGAGGAGGAAAACCACCAAATGAAAATGGAGATTTTAGAATTAAAGACACCAAAAAAGAAATCTATCGGTGAGTTCATTACACTTACGAACATCATACCATATGTATACGATTCCAAAACGCCTGCTGTTGCTTCCAGTGTTTTATTGGTTTAATGATGTCTATTTTTTTCTTTTCTTTTTTCTTTTGTTTCTGTAATGTTCTCTCGCAAACGTTTTTTTTCTTAATTTTCTTTGTGCCTTTTCATACATTTGCATGATATAAAAATGTACTTCTAGAGTGCAAATGACTCTAAGGGTTATGAAAACATGTGTTTATAAAGCATAGGACCAGTAGCCGTATTAAAACATTAGGCCTAGTACGACACATATTGTATGCCTCAAATCAGCGGTGTATATGCCTGCTCTTTGTTTTCTTAAGATACATGCTTAACTTTCTGTTATGTTCTTGATGTATCGACCATAAGTGATCTCTTTATCCTTCTGTCACAGTTTTGGGAGTGAGATACGGCAGTTCCATAGGAAAGACAATGGTGGATATGGTTACAAGAGAACTGACGAAAGGTTTAGAGCAGATGATAGACACAACAAAATTCGACCTGACCATTAAACTTTATCAGAAAGCATCAGAAACCTCGAAAGGTCCAATGGTCGTGCTATGTTTGAACATATCAAGTGTTGGAACAAATATACAAGACGCACTAGCAGGAATTGAAGGTAACACTATACTACTGGGGTATATGATACGATGTAGACATAGCTGCCATTCAGCACAATAAGGTTACATCTGGTCACACAATAAGATCCAGGTAAATAATAGTACGTATGTTAAGAGAGGCACAGAGGGGAGAAAAATATGTTAAAAAAGAATATTCTCCAGGTATAAGATTACCTTTATAATGGATTTCCATTTTGGATGGAAATCCCTATTGTTATTGTTATGTTTTTTATTCTTCTTATTATTATTATTAATCTTCTTCTTCTTCTTATTTCCAGAGAAGTTTATCGCAATAACGAACAAAGATGTTATGTTCATATTTCAGCACATGATAAATGACAACGATCGCGTGACACCCGAACAAAAATCAAGATAATAAATTTAAAGGTCAAGGTCACAGATCTATAAATAGAGATTTAACGTTTTTCGAACGACCATAACTTTAAAATCAATTGTTGCACTGCATGTACACTTGGTCGGGGCTTACCGTTCCCCATGACATGTTATCAGAGGAAAATGTCAAGTTCAAGGCCTCGCTATGGGGTCAAATATTGGTCAAAAATGAAAATCTAAAAAATAGTATTTTTTTCACAACTAAAAGAACACGATCTAAGGATGGCATGTTGAAAGCTTCAAGGTCATAGCATCAAAAATGACGAAGATATGCAACTTTGAAAAATGTTCATTTTCCAGCCAAAATTCAAATTTTCAAAACAAATACACTTTAATCTCCTCTCCTCCGTATTCTTAAGGCCTACATGGTTGATATTCAGCATTTACATAGCATGTATTATTGACTACAAAAAGAACGCATATACAATTTTAAGTACAATACAATAGAAAATTTAACTAGTATTTGATGTAAACCGTGGCAGTAGTTTTGCAATTATAAATTTATCATATGATTACCAATGTCATTTGCTTTGTTTTTGAATCCCTGAAATACGACCTGTTGCTACGTCATAATTGATCAGAAAAGGATGTTAGAGACGTCATGATTATCTGACGTCACTGATGAGACATTATAATTTTAGTGAAGATGGCATATTATATGCGCTCAAAAATAATCTAGAAAGGGGTGTTTCGTAACATTCGCAAAACTTCTTGATAGTGCGATAAAAAGGCATATTAAATGCTTATTTATTATATATGATAATTATGGGATTGTAAATGGATTTATCACTTTAAGTCTCCAGAAGCTTTTGAAACGCATATTAAAGAAAAATGAATTTGGATCTTATATCTGTTTCTGAAATATATTATATTTTCATCAGTTGGCAGTGATGTCATGGTGGTGGTGCTTCACCATACAAGTAAAGAGAACTTTTCGTATCTGACACCTGCGAGTCTTCGTGTAAAGGGGAAGGAATTCAGAAAGCTTGGTGCTATCCTGGACATGGTCTTTAGCAGTGACAGCGGGCTGTATGATTGTGACCTGAACACCACAACCATTGACAAGTTGGCAACGATTCTGATGAAACGCTAACGACATATTTTGTAAGGAAAACCAAAGACGTAAAACAGGGACACTGATGACGTCAAAAATTGACTTAAAAGAATAAGTTAATAGTTAAGTATTTTTCTCTCTTCCTTTTTGCTTTTCCATCTAAATTTAAGATTTCTAACGAAACAGCTTTAGTGGAGCATGCTGTTAAAAACCGCGTACATTCGTCCACACTCCATTCGAGTTTAATGAAATATTGTAGCTCTTATTTTTAAATTTTTGGAATCTCTCTTTATGAGCTTATAAAATATTTTTTCGTTTTACATGAGTTGTTTTGTGTCAAATGAAAGTATTCATCATACTTGTGTTAAACACGTTTGATTTAAAATATGAAACATATCAAATGCAGTCAATGTTTAACATACAAACAGTTGTTCCTCTGTGTGGATATGTGATATTGCTGGAGCCTTTGTTGCGTTTAGTGTTATAAGCAAATAATCAGTCAGCTAGAGGTTTTATGGCTATGCAAACTTTTTATGGTTTGGAATTTGCTTAGCAGTGGTTTTTTTTTTATTGTAGAAATGCCAAATATTTTACATTCTGTTTTATGCTTATGCTTTATGCTTTACACTTAAAAATCTCACTTTAAATAAGAAATTCGTCACAAATGATATGTGTGTAAACCGATGTTACCCGCGAATAGAGTGTACTATCAATCATATTTTGCCATTTGTACATTTAAGTTATATCAGTCAAGTGTCTTGATTTTTGTGCACATCGATTGCCTAAATGTATAAAAGTGATTTTAAGCCTTTGTTTTTGTTCCACAATTATAACTATTACTTTTATCCATATGTTGTAAAGCGCTTTAGAGTAATTTTACACATTATATAGGGCGCTATATAAGTGTTGTATATTATCATTATTATTTTTAACAAACAATATATGCATGGCTAACTAACATTGTGTGTGATAAGCATGGGATGGTATTTTTCTTTGGCGGAGGAGATAATAATAGGTATAGTCCCAAAGACACCTCCTTCCAGCACTTCTCACTATAACCGACAGACGCAGGGTTTAACAGGTGGTTTGTATAGGCATTGATTGTCACATATAATCGGGTTGTTAGTTGTTTATCTGTTGTGTACACCAGTCAACAGGTGGTTTGTGTAGGCAGTGATTGTCACATATAATCGGGTTGTTAGTGGTTTATCTGTTGTGTACACCCGTCAACAGGTGGTTTGTATAGGCAGTGATTGTCACATAGAACCAGTTATGTTAGTTGCAAGGGTATTATGCTTCTATATGTTTTGTGTTGTTGTTGTTGAGTTTTATGTGTCATTTGTCTGTGTGGGAGGTTATTTACTTAAATACCATAACTGATAAGAAATGGGGTCAAGTACAGGATCACCTAAGGGTGTGCTTTGGTAATTTCTGGAGAAGTGATCATGGCTAATTTTGAGATATTGTCTTTGAATGTCAGGGGGTTGTGTTCATGTAAAAGAAAAAGAGTTGATCTGTTTAATTGGATAAAAGCAAAGAAAAAATCAGTTGTGTTTTTGCAGGAAACGCATAGTTGTGGAGAAATTGAAACCTAGTGGGAAGATGAATGGGGTGGTAAAGGTATTTTTAGTCATGGAAGTACATCAAGTGCAGGAGTAGCAATTTGTTTTGGATATGAAACATATATTGAGATACATAGTAAAATTATAGACTCAGATGGAAGATACATTATATTAGATGTTTCACTTAATGGAACCAGGGTAACATTAATAAATTTATATGGGCCGAATGATGATTAGCCAAATTTCTTTGAAATTATATATAGAAGAATCAGATTGATTTCAAATACTAAAATAATGGGAGGGGACTGGAATTTGGTACAGGATATGGAAAAAGATACACATAATATTATGCATGAGAGTCATAGACTAGCCAGAGAACTAATTGATAAGAATATGGAAGAATTTGAATTATTTGACGTTTGGAGAATCCAAAATCCTGAGAAAAAAATGTACACATGGCGAAGGAAAAACCCAATTAAACAAAGTCGGTTAGACTACTTCTTAGTTTCACAAGATTTACTTAACATTGTTACAAACTCTAGTATCACACCCGGTTATAAGACTGACCATTCCTGTATATCACTAGCTTGCATTAATAAAGAAAATATGAGAGGAAAGGGGTATTGGAAATTTAAATCAAAATTATTAAATGATAAGAATTGGGTGGATTAAGCAAACCAATGCATTAGGGACACAATAGAAGAGTACCTGATAGAGGGGGATTTAGATGCATTAGAGAATATAAATTTAAGGGTAAATGACCAAATGATGTTTGAAATAATCAAAATGAAGATTAGAAGCCTAACAATAGAGTACTCAATTCAAATTTCAAAAGAAAAGAAAAAGAAAGAAAGGATGATCTCTGAAAAAATACAAAACATTGAGAAATTAATGAACAGTCAACCTACTAACCAGTTATACGAAGCATAAGAAAAAGAATATAAGGAAGGAAAAGACTGAAGGAATCATTATTGGATCAAAGGTTACATGGTATGAGAAAGGGGAAAAAGGTTCAGATTTTTTTTGTAATCTTGAAAAACAAACCTATTTGAATAAAACTATAACTGAATTGATAAATGAAAATGGAAAACATATTACAGATACAACAGAAATACTTGAAGAAGAAAAACAGATTTTTTAAAAATCTTTATACAAGTAAAATGGCATGCAATAATGATTCACCTCTATTTAATCATGGGAAACATTTACAACAGGTAGAAAAGGAAAGTTGTGAAGGTCTGATTACAATTGATGAATGTAGTAAAGTACTAGCTAATATGAAAAATGGAAAAAGTCCGGGATCGGAGGGGTTTACCAGTGAGTTTTACAAACAAACAAAATTTGGAAGGATTTGAAATATTTTGTATATAAATCTATAAATTATGCATATACTCATGACTCATTATCAGAATTTCAAAACCAGGGAAATATAACATGTATTCCAAAAGAATCCAAAGACAGAAGATTTATAAAAAACTGGAGACCTTTAACTTTAATTAATACTGACTATAAAATTGCTTCTTCTGCTATAGCAAACCGGTTTAAAACAGTACTGCCTTCATTTATAAATGATACACAGAAAGGCTTTATGAGGAATAGATTTATTGGAGAAAATAAAAAATTAGTATATGATATAATGCATGAATTAGAAAAAAAAACATATGTCTGGTTTATTGCTACTTGTTGATTTTGAAAAAGCCTTTGACTCGATAGAATGGAGTTTTATTCATAGGTCTTTAAAATCTTTCAATTTTGGTGAATCTTTGATTAAATGGATACATATTTTCTATCATAATGCAAAAAGCAGAATAATTAATAATGGGTATTTTTCATCATTTTTGGATGTACAACGTGGATGTAGACAAGGGGATCCCATCTCCCCATATCTATTCCTGATAGGTGTTGAAATTTTGGCTATACAAT